AACGAAGTACGAAGTAAAGCCCTCCATGGCTATCGACGAGCTTCACCAAACCGCCACCGCCCGAGCCTATAAATCGATGACACGTCACAGAGAAGAACAGGAACACAATCCAAAAAAGCAGATTTAGAAACTCCAGACTTCAAAACGACTAAGACTAACCGAATTTGAAACTCTCGGACTAGATTAATGGCGGCTAAAATAATCTCTTCTAGAAACCGAGGGAGTTTCAGAGAAGGTTTTTAGAGAGGATTTTTTTTTTAATCCCCAAGAGTTGCATCACCAACAATTTGGAGGATGATTGGATATAACAAATTTTTGGTTTGTTTGAATTTTTTTGTTTGGTTTGGTTAATTTTGAAAAAAGTTGGTATGATTAGTTGTTAATGGGTATATTAGAATAATATTTAAAATAAAATGATTAAAGTTGATTTGATGTAAAGTAGGAGAGAGAAGATTTGAAGTGATGGTTAGTTAAAATTATGTGAGTGGATGAATAGTGAATTAAGGTAGGGTGGTGTGTAGAAATGATTGATTGATATTATTTAATTATATTGATAATATTGATGATAGTGAGGTTGAGTTAAAAAAAAAATGGTTGAGCTAAAAATGTTTGGATTTTTTTGAGAAATTTTGTATCCAAGTATGCTCCGTGTTTTACGATATTTAAGATATGACTAGCTTTTTACTGATAGAGCTATAAAATAGAGGAAATTGCAAATTTGGTTCGTTAGATTGGGGCAATTGCAATTTTAGCTCCAAGAGACGCAATTTCAGTCCTTAACTAATTTTTGTTGCGCAATTGGTCCCAAATCTAACTGACCGTTAAGTCACTGTTTGTCATTAGTTTGAAAAGGGAGAAAATTGCAAATATAGTCCCATAAGATTGGTTTTGTTGCAAATTTAGTCCCAAATATTGAAAAAATAGTTTTATTACTAATTTTTGTTGCAATTTTATTCCGAGAGTATATAACAATATTTGATAGTAAAAATTTAGTTTTGAGAAAAAAAAAAATAATTACTATACAATGTTTTCTATATTTAAAATTATTTTTTATTAAATAATAAATATATTTAAAAATAATAATTATTTAATTTTATTAGAAATATAGAATTCTAGAGGTTCATAAAATTTATAAATAAAAATAAAAATAAAAGTAATACCAACTATTATTGGTTTGAAAGCTCGGCCAAACTTGTTGTTGAATCGAGAATCGGTCAACTAAACAGTTTGATTCCTTCAAAGTTTAAACGGATTGGTTTCCAATGAACTGATTAGAATTAGTTGAATGGACTGGTCAATAATATATATTTTTTAAAGAAGTTAATAAATATTTATATTTTTTAATATAAAAAAAATATAAGTTTAAATATATTTGATATATATAAATTCAAATATATTTGAATTTATATTATTATGTTCTCTGTATTTAAAATATTTTTAATTAAATAATAAATATATTTACAAAATAATTATTTAATATTATTATAATTATATTGTTGATAAAAAATAAAAATATAATTTTAGAGGTTAATAAAAATTTAAAAAGTAAAATAAAAATAAAAATAAAAATAAAATTAACTACTATTATTTTTAAAATAATATCAACTACTACTACTTTTAATTTTTAGAATCGGTCAAATGGTTGGATCCCTTTGAACGAACTGGTTTCCAATGAACCAGTCAGAATTGGTTGATCGGACTGGTCAATTGTGTGTGTATATATATATATATATGTATATATATTTTAAATTCATATTTGATATATAACAAAAATATTATTATTTGATATATTTTTTAAATTCATATTTATATATTTTTTTAATCTAACGCATGTATAAACTTAAATTCATATTTGATATATAAAAAATATATATTTTATTAATTCATATTTTTTAAATTCATATTTGATATATAAAAAAAACATTTATATATTTTTTAATATAAAAAATATATAAACTTAAATATATTTGATATATATAAATTCAAATAAATTTAAATTTATATTATTATTAATATATTAAAATTTTTAATTGCAATACAATGTTTTCTATA